TTAAATAATTATATTTAAAAAATTGTAAATAATTTTTTTTCGATTTGCTCAATTTTCTTTTTAAATTGTTTTATAAATTTTCATCTTAATTATTCTTTATTCCTCAATTCTTAGCAAACTACTTTGCCTTTTCTCCCAGTGCATACACTTTAACGTAATTTTGTATTATGTTTTTTATTTTTACAAATATTACATTAAACTGTTTGGGGCATACAAATACCAGCAGCGTCTTACATTAACAGCTTTTTATATGGTCGCAATGTCGCTGTGCCACAAATTGTGGCACACACACACCTATACACACACTCATCGCGAGCATACTGCAGCTGCGGCACGCATTGCAGCCCTTAACCTTTCACATTTGCGTGTTTGCGAAACTCAAGCCCGCAGCACGCGGACCGCTCCGCTCCTTGCCGTGAGTTAGTTTGATTCAATTGCAATTTGCAGCATCCGCATGCTGCCTAACGCAGGAAGCGTGTGACACAGAGAGCGAAAGAGAGAGAGAGAGTGGGGAGGGGGGAGAAGGAGGAGTAGAGTGTGGAGAGTGGGTTTAGTGGTGCAAAGTGCAGCAGCAGCTGACAAGCGGCGCTAAGTGCTCTGCCCATTAAAGTATGCAATCATTTTGCGGTTAACAGGATCACACTATGCACAGACTCACTATCTAACTCTCTCTCTCACTGTCTGTCTCTTTCTAATTGCTTTAGTCCTCATATAATGCTGCCAGCGCTCCCTTGACAAGATTAACGTTGCACAATGGTCCCTAGCTCTGTCTATCTCGCTGTCTCACTCACTTTCGTTTTCTATCTCCCTCTCTTTCATCTCTCAAATTTCTTTCATTCATAAACAAATTGGTGCCAATTTTTAGCTGCCCACAATTAAATAACAAATGCAAATGAAAATTTTATCCACAGCCAAAAGCGTCAGACAACCACAGCAACACCCCTAGCATCCCCTGCTCTTCTCTGTCTCAGTCTGTCACTCTCTCTCTCCCATTATCTCTCTCTCCGTTTAACTCAACCGCCTGTGGGAGCGCATAAATAAATAAATAAATAAACAAGCGTTTAATTGAACCGGAAATTATTTTTCTGTGGGCGTCGATTGGATTTCTATTCATATGTGTGTGCATGCATGTGTGTCTTCCATGTGTGTGTGTGTGTGTGTGCTCGTATTAGAATTTATAGCACACTTGTCGCTTTGTTGTTGTTGCTGTTGTTTGCCTCAGTTGTTGAAGCAATGCGTTGCGATTTTGTTGTAGCTAAAAGGTTTTGCTTCGGTTCGACTGGGTGATATAATGCTGTTGCTCTATCTCTTTCTCTCTCTATCTTCCTCTCTCCCACACACACACACTCTCTTATTGAACTGGGGCACCATTGAGCAGTTTTAGAAACTTTTGTAAACTTATATAAATTTAAAAAGTTCAAAAATAAAAAATTAAATTAAATTAAATAGCCAAAGTTAGTATATAAAACTTTATTTTTATTTTTATTTATTTTATTTTCAATTCAGCAATTATTTGCATCGATAGTTTTGTTATTGCTATCGATTACTCTGTCAGCTAGTAGTAATTGTGATCGATAATTATTTGATGATTATTAATTATCGTTATCGATATATGTTGCTTTCATTACGGCTGTCAATGACAACTATCGAATATTTAAAATTTTAGTAACTTGATTTATTTTAAAATATAATCTAACTTTTGCTAGGTGTGATTGAATTTAATTCATTTATATATTATTTATAAACAGCATTAAGCTCTACTATAGACCCCCATAATTCTCTATATATATTGTATTCAGTTCGGTTTATGGTTGAGATAGCTTATCGAATTTGTTTTTGATGATGCCATAAAGCGAATCAGTTTGATTTTCTGCACAGAGTACAAAAATCCACATGAATTATCTACGTTTTCTTTTCTGCTTCTTTTTATTAGAGAGTATTCAATATTCGCTGTGGCAATTATGGAATTTTCGTTAGTCAGCTTCTCTTGGCTTTCTATTAATATGCAATGCCGCATTAGCAAGTTGCTCTCTGGCTGTGCGCTAAATTGACGCTAAAGCTCGTTAGATTGTGAGATGTAGATGTAGTTGTAGCTGTAGCTGTATTGTATATGTAACTGTTACTGTAGCTGTAACTGTAAGTGTATCTGTATGTGTAACTGCTCTGTCCGCCTCTGGGCTCAGTATGCATATGTGCTGCTCGTTATGCCGCCTCTTCGTTTTCGTTAGTTTCGTTTGCATGTGTTGCCTGTCGCACACAAAAACTTTGTAAACTTTATGTGGACTTTGCCTTAAATGAACCGCCCACTTGTTGAATTAAATGTAATTTAACTGAGCACGCAAATCTTATGAAGTACTTGAGCTGCGTTTAAAGTGATACTAAAAATAATATTTACTAAAAATGAAAATTAAATAATAGGAAAACTAGAGATTAAAATAATAATAATGCAATTTAAAAAACATAAGTAAACTAAAATAAAAATGGTAATAAAATAAAA